TTTCTTTTCCTTTGAGTGATATCCTCCATCCTGAGATCAGATATAGATTGATATCTATATCTGGGTTTCTGCCTGGGTGGTCTTTTGTGACGAGCCGAAGGACAGAGAATGGAAGTAGTGATCTTCCTCCCATATTTGGGCATACCGGGGGTTGTAAAAATCTTATGTATGTATGTATGTATACACACACACACACACACACGCCAATAACTAAGAAAGAAAACTCCCAACTTCATTGTTTGTGGAATTAATGATACTTTTACTGGTCATGAAAAGATAGCAGCGAAAAAAAAGCAAGATCTGAACCACAAAGACACGAACAAGTGCATATCAAACTTTTACCCAGCACCCTCCCCCCACGCACGCCAACCCAATAAGCAATCTGCAACCCCCTAAGCTGTCATGTGAGTTGCATTTTCAAAACTTCTATGGTATGCAGAGACGGTTGACCTTGACCCAGTCCAAACACAGGCCATCAGCATGCGCAAAACATGGTGAGACCCAATTTTCCCTCTGATAACTCCTCCAGCACCCTAAGTATCCAATCCCAAATGCCTCAAGCCCCCACCCTTCCCGTTTCTATGGCAGTCGATAGCAAGCAAGCAAAGTAGAAGCTGACAATATATTTATTCTGATTACATTTCTGACTTTAAAAAAAAAATTGATCTGGAATCTGTGAGGTTGTGGAAATTGGAAGCAAACCCATACTTTTTCCTCCTACAGTACTTTTTATTGCATCTGCGGAAAATTCTGCAGGTGGAATATTCAAGCAGGATATTTATCCAAAATAGAAAGGAGTGGATATTTTCCACTTTGTTCCAAGTTGACCTCTGGTTGATATTTCCAGCTGTATATATTCTGCAAACAAGATTCATGAAAGGTTGTAATCCAAGCTCTATGGGAGTAAAATCTGTGGGTCAGCATTTCTCTACTTACTCTACTCCTATTGAAATACATTTGGCCCAGATTCCTGAAATATTGATTTCATCTTCACGGATGTAAAACAGGCAAATAAATGTTAATAAGGAACTCTTTTTTAAAAAAAACATTTAGGTGCTGATTATAAAATGCAGCAATAATCAAATTATTTATCTGTTCAGCATGATATCTTTATTTCAATAACATTATTTTCCCTAGCTTTCTACTGCCAATTCATACTCTATTATTGTACTTTTTAAATAGTCTCAACCATTGCAAAATGACATTAAGTTTGCTTTGTTTTGTTTTCTTACAGTGGAATCTCGTATGTGACAATGACTGGAAAGCTCCTCTAACTACATCTTTGTTCTTTGTGGGTGTGCTGCTTGGATCCTTTATATCTGGACAACTCTCAGACAAGTAAAGTACACATACTTAAAAATAGCATTGGGGTGTGTGGGTTTTAAACATATTTTTGTAATGCTCTTGATGCAGAACCATACTTAACTTGATGGTTAATTCCAACTTTGAAAAAAAGGATCTGAAATCAAACATTCATGGGAATATAAATTAGTAGGCAACCAAACTATATATGCATCTTCATAAACTAGTAGCATTCTACACATCTATAAAAGTGTGAGATATTTGTACATCTGTATGAGATATGTGGGAAATAAATGCATGCATTTCAATATTAGTACTAGCAATTAAGATCAAATAAAAGAGATTGCTATAAGCCATTGTCAGAAATTTTTCACAATCTGCTTGTCACTTTTTATAGGGAAGCTGTGAGGATAAAAAAGCATTAAACATTTCTGATGTTTTTTGTTCCGATTGAAGAAGAATCTTGGAATACTGGTTTTGGACAGATGATTAAATAAGAAATATATGCTTAACCTTTTCCCTATTGCACATTTTCTTTTTTTTTAAAAAAAGCTGTTTTCCTCTGGGACATTAGTACATTTATTTCAATATAAAATATAGTTTTCCTTTTAGGTTTCTGGTGGAGGGGACAATCAGTTTGCAATTCTAATACAAATGAAGCACAATACATTATATGCTATTTATTTCTAAGTTCCAACCAGTCCTTTGTAAGACTGCCTAGCACAGAACAGTCTTATCAGAAGTAATGGACTACAGCTTTAATCTTTCCCATCTAACATAGAGATGGGAGTTCCAGTACAATGCTTCGGGAGGTTAGATCAGTTTGACTGTTGGAAGTGCTGGATGATTGAACCCTCTACCTAAAAAACTAATCATGTGAACAGTGAAAGTAATATACTGCCACCATGTGTTCATCTCAATACATTTCAGGTAGTCGAGTTATGAATGTAATGGAGCCTGCCCATTCCATTTGTACCTCGGAGGATTCATGGGAGTGAATCTCGTACCTTGAATGAGATCACTCCCTGCCTTCGTCCATGCATTTAATTTAATGCGTGGGTGAATGCACAGTTCGTTAAGTGCACATGAGTTATCTCAGGGTGGGGAAGACCATGGGGGGGGGGGCTAGTGAGGGTACAGGCCCCCAAGGCCTACCCAACTCACTAAGTTACCCCATGCTTCCCACTCCCTGGCGCGCCAGACTCATCTTGCAGACATCTGTTCTGTTGCTAAAGTAGAAATCTGTTCATCTGATAATGGGAATATATCTCTTTGAGATCTATTGTCTACTGAAAATAAAGGGGAGATTGGGTGGACCTATCCGCTCTCCCTAAAAGCAAACAACAATTCTATTCTGATTTCATTTATAATCTTTTGGCTTGCTTGTTTTTTTCCCCCAAAAGGTTTGGCAGAAAAGCTATTCTATTTGCAACCATGGGTGTACAGACAGGTTTCAGCTTCCTCCAGATCTTCTCAACCAGCTGGGAAATGTTCACAGTGCTTTTTCTTATAGTTGGCATGGGGCAGATTTCAAATTACGTTGTGGCCTTCATATTAGGTAAGATTTTTTTCACTCTTAAACTTTACTTGCCTGTTTCAATATGTTGGAGCAATCACATTTCACAAGAAACAATATTCCCACATATAAGTATCAAAACTATATTTAGGAAAAATAGCTAAATTAAAAGAAAAGCTGATAGAACCTGGGAAAATCTAGAAGTTAAAAGAGAATAAAATTTGCCAAGTGAAATAAAATACTTTCTGTCAATTTAGCTAGTTGATTCAGTGACTTAAATGACCCATTCCCATTCTATAGTTATATTGTTTTTGAGGTTTAACATAACTTAACAGAACATAACAATAACAGAATTGGAAGGGATGAGGAGCCAAGGTGGCGCAGTGGTTAAATGCAGCACTGCAGGCTACTGCTAGATCAGCAGGTCAGCGGTTCAAATCTCACCGGCTCAGGGTTGACTCAGCCTTCCATCCTTCCGAGGTGGGTAAAATGAGGACCCAGATTGTTGGGGGCAATATGCTGACTCTCTGTAAACCGCTTAGAGAGGCCTGAAAGGCCTATGAAGCGGTATATAAGTCTACTGCTATTGCTATTGCTATTGCTATTGGATGTCTTCTAGTCCAACCCCCTGCTCAGACAAGAAAACCTTTACCATTTCAGACAAATGGTTGTCCAATCTCTTCTTAAAAACTTCCAGTGCTGGAGCATCCACAACATCTGGAGGCAAGTTATGACTTGTCTGGACAAACATAGACATTTCAAAAATTGATTTCAGATTGCTACAGAAGTAACTTTCACTAGCTATACTGAAACCTTTGTTAATTCATCAGCAGCCCGAACTTGCTTAACAGGGAAAGCAGAGGGAATATTTGAGAAATGGGTGAGTAGACTGAGGGATATCATAAATATGAAAAGGGGGCACTTGTAGCATAAGCAGCAGGATTCTTCTGAACTCCTTTAGCCATCTTGCCATGCTTTTTTTCAGGTAGCGCCCCCCCCCCCCATCTTGAATAACATGAACTGGGAGTGGTTGACATATACTGGAACTCTCATCTTTCAGCAGTCATGGTTAAGAAATTCATTCTTTGCTAGTATGATATTGAAGGCTGCCAAGAGACTAATGTTGAAATCAATAGTGGCACTACTTAGAAAATCTTGGTGGCCCGGCAAGGGGAGGAGAGGAACCGACTTACGCAAGTTGATCTGCACATGTGCACGCCAGACCACTGCTTACGCAAGTTGGTTGTGCGTGCACATGCGCCGACCAGCCGCTTGCAAGGCCCAGTTCCAAAAAGACCACAGTAGTAGGCCACGGCCTGGGGATTGGGGACCCCTGTCATAAAGTCTGAGGTAAAGTATATCCCCATCATACTTTTTATGCAGGCAGATCTACATAGTATCATACTAAACTGTATGCAGGTCACCAGTTTCCGATTGTTGCCTTCCTGGAGCCTGATGATAATTATTTGGCTTCATGGTGGTTTGTGAGTTCAGAGTTATGTTTAGATACAATAGGGAGTTAATTTCTTGCTGTTTTTGCTGGATCTAAAACATGCTCCTTGGAGTTGAATTGGCTCACTAGTTTTACTACAGCTATTTCTTTACTATGGCATTGCTTTTTTTAAATGCTCTCCTTATCAGATACACTTAATCCTCTAAATTTATGCCTAGTCATCAAAATAATGCAGTTTCTTTCCCTTGCCATTGATAGAGAGAACTTTGAATCTCAGCAGGAGCATTTTTTTGTTTTTTGTTTAAAAAGCAACAACTACCAATTTGGCCATGAACTAATTAAGCAGCTACTTATTAAAATAGAAATATTTTAGTAACTTATATTTTATATTACTTTATGCATTGATATTTAATAATGGAATATTTTAAAGATATTGTTTGTCCTTAAAAACTAGTTTTCCCCTGGAAAATTTGAATGACTTTTTTTAAAATCAAATTTTCCCTTCTTGTTTATGGATTTTTAAGCTATAAATATTTACCAAAATGTGTCAGCCCTGTTCATGAAGTTCTACAGAATTATGTAACTATAATGGTGAGGAGCCAGGGAGGAGGTGAAGGGAGGACATTGAGAGGATAGTGAAATCAATGGCTTACTATGCAGAATAAGTGTCCTATGAAGTAATCTGCAGGTGGCTACCAGATTGTGGTTGTTTACAAGCGATTACCCTCAGACTGGGTTATTTGGAAGTGTTTGAGAAAAGTTTTTAATTGTAAACAATATTGGCCTTATGAACTTGGTCATAGTTTTGCTAGTAATTCATTTAAACTTGCAATTTTTTAAAAAAAAATTATCTTGTGTTTTAGAAACTTTGACAGAAAATATATTTAAATACATTAATCCTTTTGGGATGAATAAACATTTTTGATTTATAATATAGAAAGGGCAAACTGATGATTTTTCTTTTTCAAGTGCAATAGCCAAATTTTATCTTCTTGAACTGTATGACACTATTTTTTTCCACAGGAACAGATTGCAAAGAAAAGGCAATGTAAACATTTCTAGAATACTTTAATGAATTTTAGCACCTTCTGAAAATATACATATTAACACACTTTATATTTGTTTAAGTAAAATGTTTATTTGGAGGCATTTTTAAAGTGTTCTCAGTGAATTTAAATAAAATATATTTAAACTATTTTTTATTCTCTAATTATGAAATAAACTGTAAAACAATACACTTCTCTTAATAACAAATCCCTTGTATGGATTTTTCATATATTTTTGATGACCTTAAATACCAAGCATCGGAATCAATAATCAAACAGATGTGTGATATCCTTTCCCCAAATGGGAGAAAATACATATATAGAATAAAATCCCAAGCAAACAGGCCATCATATTAATACTTTTCCCTACCATTTCTTATAATAATGAATCATATAATAATTTACAGTGCTTGCCTCAACACCTCTGATATGCCTGCTGGGCTGTACACAAACATGAGTCATAAGTAATTAGTATACAATAGGGTGCAGCAATGTTTAAAGGAAGGTGTGTCTATAAACAGATTAATAGTGCTGGGACAAGAGCAAGATCAATACAAGTCAGTGAAAACTAATAAGGAAATTATGCCACTTTCAGAAGTTTGGAATTTTTGGTATACAGTATAGGTCAAATTGTGCAATTTTATAAGCATGTTAAGTAGACAAGAATTATCTTTAGTTTCTTTTATTTGGATCATACATAAATTTATGACTGAACTGGCTCATAAAATTTATTATACTAATTTCTTTAACACTGTACCGTATCTGAAAAGTATATTGTACTGTGGTGTTTTTCCAAGAAATCATTTCCAGAAATTATGAAGTTTGTACTCTGTAATGCAAAATAATATCTTTCATAATGAGAATGAGTGAGAACATTCAATATCCCTTTATCATAGTTGAACAGAGGACAATCCTGATGTTTTTCCTGCTGCCCTGCCATATAGGAATGTTTTTCCCTATACATGAGCAAAGTGCATTGTACAGTTTAGAAAAAAACAACAACTGAAAGGTTTCCAGGAAAGGGACTCATGACACCAAGCGCGCTATTGTTTAGTTGGCTTAAGTATGTTGCAGTAAATTATGTAAGATTTTGATTACTTTGATTTTTTTCCCAGTCCAAAACCACATTATTTTCTGATGGGTTAAACATACAATAAAATAAGGGAAGCAATATCTATATTCCTGGAAATGCTTCATGAATATTAAATGGAATTCTAAAATATTTTTAAAATACTATCCAGTGAATGTAATATCTCATGTATTCTGCATGGTTGTTCATGGCTTTCTAGTACAACCATGTGATTATGTTTGTAGATACTGTAAATTATTAATTACTTAGTTTAATACAACCGTATTTTTCAGAGTATAAGATGCATCGGAGTATAAGACACACCAAGGTTTTGAAGAGGCAAATTTTTTAAAAAAGTCGATAGGTAGATAGAAGGATAGAGAGGGAAAGAGAGAGATAAATACAGTAAGTAGCTAGGTAGGGAGAAAGAGAGAGTAGTTAGGTAGATAAAGGGAAAGAGAGAGAGATAAATAGAGATAGAGATAGAGAAATACAGTAGGTAGGGGGAAGAAAGAGGGTAGGTAGGTAGGGGGATAGAGAGAGAAATAGAAATACAGTAGATAGGGAGAGAGAGAGTAGTTAAGTTGGTAGGTAGTGGGATAGAGAGAGAGAAATAGAGAGAGAGAGAAATACGGTAGGTAGAAAGAGAGAGAGAGAGTAGGTAGGTTGGTAAATAGAGGGGGAGAGAGAAATGCAGTAGATAAGTAGAGAGAGGGAGTAGGTAGGTAGGTACATAGGTAGAGGGGGAGAGAGGGAGAGAGAAATACAGTAGGTAGGTAGGGAGAGGGATAGCGAGAGAAATAGAAAAAGATAGAGAGAGAAATACAGTAGATTGGTAGGGAGAGAGAGAGAGGTAGGTTGGTAGGGAGAGGGATAGAGAGAAATAGAGAGAGAGAAATACAGTAGCTAGTAGGGAGAGAGAGTAGGTAGGTAGATGTTTCCAGGTGTATTTATCCATGTGCTGGAGAAGGAAATCGCTGGAGCACCTAAGACTTTTGTTTCTGCTGGCACAGCACTTGATTAATGTAATTCTCATCAATCAGTTAAAGAGCTTTCCAAAAGGGAAAAAAGGATTTTGCATTCTGCAAACCTCCCCAAAATGGCCCGTTTTTCACAAAAATGGGTGTGTTTTTTAAAAATAAAAGGCATGAATAGCCTTGGGGGGGCTTTCAGAGTGCTCCTGGGGGGCAGGGGCCAAAAACTAGCAGAAAAATGGCCCGTTTTTTGTCAAAAAAATGCATGCATAGCCTTATGTAGGCTGCTGGGGGCTGGGTGGGCAAAAAAGCCCATTATTTGCTAATTTCTACCCTCTCCAACCCCCAGGAACTCTGAAACCTTCCATAAGGGTATGCACGGCCATTTTGGTGAAGGGGCGGGGCTTCCAGAAGCAAAAAAAAAAATGCTGTATTCAGTGTATAAGGCGCACCCAGATTTTCAGCCTCTTTTTTGAGGAAAAAATGGTGTGTCTTATCCTCCGAAAAATACGGTATGTAATATTCCCTAAATAACTGGTCCAAGTGAGCATTCTCCTTCAAAGAACTCAGGTTCAGTATAGATAGTCATTGACATATTTCTGTGAAATGATCTGATATGAACATTTTTTTATTGGAAGGAGTTAATTTCTTTTCCTAAAGATGGATGGATGGACAGATGGACGGACAGACAGACAGACAGATAGAATGAAAACATATGAGTACATCATTTAGGCTCAGAAAACATTCTCTTGTTGCTGAGATTATTATTTTGTACAGCTTTGTGTAGAGATAATGCTCTCTTCTAATTAGTCATAAGATGGCTAACTAAACAGTTTAATCAGTCAACTTAAACATGCATTAAAGTACATAGAAATAAAAGCAGTATTTTTTTTTAAAAAAACAGTATTTTTTACTAAAAATAATTAAAACAATTAAGAGTGAATGAAAATAAAGATGTCCTATCCCTAATTATAGAATGAATGCATTCTTGAATGCAAGTTTTTTTCAAAGAAAGTTTTTGGCTTGTTGGTTGTAGGTTTTTTAGCACAAATTTAATAATGAAGTTGATCCCTCAGTGATTCTTAGCAGGGCTGGAGTAAGGCATGTAATGCCCTAAGTATAGCTCAATAATGGTGTCCCTTGGCCCTCCCATTGCTTAACTGGCTTAAGACACTTAATAAGTGCTGAAAACCAAAGTCAAAAGTAGCAGTGAATGTGTTATGGGCATGTCGCGTGGGGAATAAAACTCTGTGGTACCTTTCTTCAAGTCATATCTTAAGGGTATGCTTATTTTGCTTAATTGTTAATCCAGGGCTGATTGTTAGCTAAAACGAGTACTTTGGCCTTTCATTTATGCAAGCTAATGCTTGAGTTGGATATTTTTGTTGTTTGTTTATTAGATTTATACCCCACTTTAATTTTGTGCTACTTAAGGTGAGGCACATAACGCTTGCTTCTTTATTTTCCTACAACAACAATATGGTTGAGAGAAAGTGAGTGGATCTAAGTCACTCAGGTGGCTTATATAGAGAGGGCTAGAAGACCTGGACTCCTGGTTTGTAATCTAGCATCTTAACCATTACATTTGACAGTAACATCAGACTGTGTAGTGATTGCCTAAAAAAATAAAGACTCCAGTTGTGGGACTTCTCTTTCTGGCAGCCCCAGTCAGTATGGTCAGTAGTCAGTAACTACAAAAGTTCTACTCTTAACAGTCTCCAGGAGACTGCAGTTCCATACGCCAATGTAGAATTAAAACTGATGGTTATTGAAAGTGCAACCATGGACTAATTGAACCACTGACCTGCTCAAGCTAAAGCAGTTCTAATATTACAATGTATTTTCAGTTGTGACATGGCTATATTTCAATAACCTCTCTTATTTCTCTCCAAAATATAATTGAAATGTATCAATCCGCTAAATATATCAATTCTGATGCACAGTATGTATTGGTGTGTAATTTAAATTAAGTTAAAGTTAAATCACGCATCATATTATGCCTCAGAATTCCCTGCTAGTCTTGTTCAACTTTAGGCAAATTAGTGCCATAACCTCTCTTGAAAATTAGGACATGGCTCCATTTAAAAGACTGTATTTATTTTTCAAGCTGCAAAATAACATATTTTGGGTAAATAGAGTTAAATGCTAACCGCACTCCTTGTTTTAAACAGGCACAGAAATTCTTGGCAAATCAGTTCGTATTATATTCTCTACGTTAGGAGTTTGCATATTTTTTGCAATTGGCTACATGTTGCTGCCACTATTTGCTTACTTCATCAGAGACTGGCGGATGCTACTACTGGCTCTTACTGTCCCTGGGGTGTGCTGCATTCCACTGTGGTGGTGAGTTTAACTGTTCTGAAAGTTGTTCAGCTTCAGAAATGTCCTCTCTGTAGCTGATAACCTTCACCCTACACTATTATATAACCAGTGGGCATTTTACAGCCTTGAGTTGATGTAGATAACATTTTCCCACCTTTGCCATTTGATTGCAGAGAGCAGTGGATTGTTTTGAATGTTCTTTTAAATTATCTTTATTTTGACTCTGAGTTGGCTGGTTCTATGGGACGTACCCTGTGCGAGTTCTGGATTGTGTTATTCTGACCTCCAACTTTTAAAAAATAGTGTTTTTTTTTAATGCAAGTCATTAGATGAGTTCTCCTGTTCAAATTTTCCCTTCTTGGTTATTTTTGATTCCACTTTTTTCTGTTGAGGCACCAACATAATTTTTTGATAATCGAAAACAGCCCATGATGTTTTTAAGAGCAGCTGCAGAAAGCAATACTACTGTATGGCTAAATCTCTGCATTTTTTTCTAGTTAGTTGTTTATGCATCGAATGTTCACAGTCATGTTTATATTTTTAAGAGGAAAAATTCTAATAAATTAACTTCATGAAACTTAAAACAAATTACTGCTTCAAGAGAACCCACTTCCAATTGCTAGTACCAAAAAATATTGAAGCTATGAAATTATATGCATTTTTTCTTGTAAAACATTCTGAAGAAGAACTATATTACCTTATGATAACTAAAACCTGGAAAGTATATGATAGGATCTATTAAAACTAATCAATTTTATTATAAGTATAAGTATAATCTTTATTGTCATTGTACTTAAATACAACGAAATTGGTTAAAGCCTAAGCATCTGTTAAACTGGGATCCACTTGCAAAATTTTATGCCCTATAATAAAAATTTATTAGACTTAAAAAGTAGTTCCAGTCTTCTATGTTTTGTACAGCACTTGTATCTTAAAAATCTGGCACTTGCTCACACATCTCCCTCAACATTCAAGTCTCAACAAGTTTTGACTTGTTGGTCTGAAAGAATGATTCAATAGTAAATTCTGATATCATATTACTATTGGTATTTAATATGTCATTTTAAAGAATTTGTTTGCAATTTAAAAGATTGCTTGCAAAGGTATAGTTCACTAATACTTACATATCAGGTTTTAGAGATTAAAAACATTGGAAAGTTACCCATTTTACAACATTCTTAAGGAATTTAAGAATATAATCCTTGTTTCTGTATAAGTGTTATACAATTTTAACTCAAATGAAATACTGTGGTTTCTAATATGAATATGCAATCTCCCACAGTTTATTTGATATTAAAATAACTATGTTTTAGATCTCAGTTCTTGCTTTCCAATGTGTCAGTCATTTTGTTCAAATGTTTATATTGAATTTGCTCTAAAATATATTAGAAGTGTATTTGGGAATTTATAATGTTAAATGTCTTTGTGATTTAGGCTATGTTCTGCAGAAATAGTTGCAAATTACTTTAATCAAAAACTTGATTAATTCCTACATGCATTGTTTCAAATATCAGTTCTGTAGAGACGATTTCTCCTTTTTAAAAATTTCTTCCTATATTTTATTGGCCTCTTTATTGCTTAACTATCTTCACAGTTAGCCCGGGAACCATATTTTTGTGATCAATGGTATCAATAGAAAGACACAAAAGTAGAAATGTTTAGCTTTCCGTTCCAATTTTGCATGCAGAGTGCCAAAAAGATAATGCAGCTAAAATCTTTTTTTTATTTTATCTGAGACAGATGGGAAATATTTCTTTGGATCAGAATAAGAAAATTTTATTTCAGAATATTTACTTCCTAATAATGGCAGGAGCTACTTTTTAATTAATATTTCAAAGAATAGTTGTTGCCACATCAGTATGCTTTGAATAATGTAAATAGAGATATTAATATGAATAGAATGTAAGGTATTATCTTTCCTCCTTTCCTTTTAAAATGGATTATATTTGTCTTGCTTGGCCTCGGCCCTCCTATTCAGCTCTTGCTCTATTCAGTTTTAGAATTATGCACTCAACACTTCTTTGCAATAACCCTATTCTTTCTCTCTCTCTCTCTCTCCCCCCCCCCCCCCCCCCCCCCCCCCCCCCCGCTTCTCTGTTCTTGGTCATTGTACTTCTGGCTTTTAATTGAATTTTCTTCTTAAG